CCCCCCCACCCCATTACCCGTTGTGGGTACAGCGCCCGCGGGTCCCCCCTCAGAGCGAAGGCGTAGAGGTGGTCCCTGTGGGGCACAGTGGGGGACGTGTGGCCGTGCACCGCTGTGCAGCAGGGGATGAACGGGAGCACACGAGTGTGCAACCAGACACAGCTTCGCACAGGCGTTTGCAAGCGACACAGCGAGCCGGCAGCGGTGAGCAGGGTGTGATGGCGCGTGCAAAGAAACGCACGGAGCAAACACGCCTTGCACGAGCACACAGCCGGCTGCTCACACACGTGGTCACGCGCCTTGCACGCTTTGCACGCTCACCGCGCGGCCACCAGCAGCGTCCCGTTGAGGCGCAGCATCCGCTGGAAGCCGATCCCGAGCTCCGCGCTGCCGTTGTCCCCGCGGAGACCCCCGAAGCGCGGATAGGCGGCGGTGGCTGCGGGGGGAGGGGAGGGGGGTTGCGGGTGACCCCACGTCCCCATTGTGGCCCCATTGCGGCCCCTTTGCGGCCCCATCGAGTCCCCGCTCACCTGACAGCCCCACGGCGCTGCGCGGCTCGAGGTCCCGCGGGAAGCTGAGCGCCAGCGCTGCGGGACCCACGAGGACGAGGAGGGGGAAGGGGGGGGGGGGCGGCAGCGCGGGGCGGCATCGCCGGGGCGGCCCAGAGAGGCACCGCAACGCGCTGTGCGGGGACAGCGTCAGACCCCCCCGAAACCCACCGCCCTACGGAGCCCCACGGGACCCTTAAGTCCACAGCCCCACGGAACCCTATAGGACACACAGGACCCTGTAGGACCCGCCGCCCCTACAGCCCCACGGGACCCCATAGGACTCCACAACCTCATAGAACCCCAGAGGACCCACAGCCCCCAAAGCCCCGCAGGACCCCATGGGATCCCATAACCCCAGAGGACCTCACAGGACCCTTAACTCCACAGCCCCACGGGACCCCATAGGACCCACCAGCACACAGCCTCCCAGGACCCCATAGAACCCCATAACTCCATAACCCCACAGGACCCGTAGGACTCTGTCACTCCACAGCACCTCATAACCCCGTAACCCCACAAGACCCCAAAGGACCCCGTTACCCCAAGGACCCGCTGTCCCGCCGCCCCGTACCGCTGAGCGCCGCGCCCCGAGCGCTCCCGCAGCGGCTCCGCCCCGGAACGGGGCCGGATTCGGACGGGACGGCGTGGGCCGGGGGGGTGGAGGGATGGGAGGGGTTGCGGACACCCGTGGGCGCCCCACGCGCGGAGGGGACGCGGAGATTTCGGGGGAATTTGAGTTGTGGGGTTTGTTTTTTGGGGGGGGGGAGGGCGGCGCGGTGTCACCGCGCTGCGCGTCCCCTCCGACTCCCTCCCCCCCTCCCGCGGCGCTATAATTAGCGCTAATCGCCGTAATGAGCTGAGCCCCGCCATCCCGCGTGTGCGCGCACGTGGGCTCCTCTCGGAGCTCCGCAGCGCCCACGCGGGGACGCGGCCATAGGGCCCCATTTCTGCCCCATTGCTGCCCCCACTTCCCGTGTCCCCAAAGTGGCCCATCGGTGTCCCCAGCCCCACCCCATTTCCCTTCTCTTCGCCCCCCCACGCGTGTCTCTATGGGGTCCCCCCGCATTGAAGGCACACGGCGACCTCTGGCGGCCCGCAGGGTCCAATAGGGCCGGCGCCCACATCCCGCAGCCGGGATGGCGACCCCGCGGCTGTGACAGCGGTGTCCCCGGACGCACGGTGCTCCCTTTTATTTACACACTGCAGGGTGGGAAACCCACGGGTGACCGACCCCCACCCCCACAACACCCCCAAAGGCAAAGACCCCAAAAGGCAAAGCCTTACAAATAAATAGGATCAGAGGGAAAGCATCACCGGGTGAACCCCATCCCAGTGTGAGGGGGAGGCTCCAGTCCACGGGTTTGGCCGACCCCAAAGTGGGGCACAACCCGGCGGAAGCCCCCCCCACATCCCATCCCCACAGTCACGGTGTCCCCATGGCTGTAATGAGGTCCCCACAGCCGCGGCGATGTCCCCACGGTCACAGTGTGAAGATCTCATCCTCGGTGTCGCGCAGTGCAGCCGCTCGCCGTGTCCTGGTGAGGGGCTGAGCGCCGAGCTGGGGACCCCGCAGGGACGGCCCTGGGGGGGGGGAGCGGGACGGCGGCCTCGGGGACACTGCAGGGACACGGGGGGGGGCAGTGAGCGGTGACCCCAAACCCCATAGGAAGGTGTTGATGTGATGCACGGGTGGTGCTGAGCAGTAACCCCATAACCAAACCCCATAGCAGTGTGGGTTGGTGTGAGGTGGGGGACACAGAGGTGGTGGCAGTGAGTGGTGACCCCAGAGCCAAACCCCACAGGAAGGTGACAGTGGGACGAGGGCACAGGAGAGGGGTGACGGTGGACACGGGGGCTGGCAGTGAGCAGTAATCCCACAACCAAACACCACAGAAAGGTGATGGTGTGGGGTAGGGGACATGGGGTGGTGCTGAGCAGTAACCCCATAACCAAACCCCACAGCAGAGTAGGTTGGGGGACGCGGGGTGGCAGCGAGCGGTGACCCCATAACCGAAGCCCATAGGGAGGTGGCAGTGGTGGGAGGTGGGCGCTCACCCCGCACGCAGCCGCTGCTCCACCACCGCTGCTTTGGAGCGGCCGATGTCGGCGTCCAGGCGGCGCAGGAAGTCGCTGGCTGTGAGGTCGGGGTGCGGCGTGGAGGCGGGGGTGGGGGTTGTGGGGTCCGACGGCGCCGACCCCATGGGAGCCTCACTGGGGCACCCCGGGGGGGGGATGAGGAGGGTGGGCTTCAGGAAAATGGTGTCCGACGTGTAGAGGCGGTTGGCGCGTTTGATCTGCTCCATCTGCGGGATAGAAATGGGGGTGGGGTGGGATAAAGGGTGGAATACGGACGGGAAAGGGAAAAGCATTGGGATGGGAACAGGGATGGGATGGGATGGGATGGGATGGGATGGGGCGGGATGGCAGAGAGACGGGAGGAGAGGATGGGGATGGAGACAGTAGGAAAGGGATGAGGATGGGGACAGGGACAGCGGTGTGTGCGGGGTGGGATGGGGGCGGGACAGGACCAGGGCCGGGGCGCGATGGGGACGGCAGTGACGGCGCGGTGCCCGCTGGGGGCTCAGCCCTCTGCCCCCCCCCCCCCCCGGCGCTCACCGTCACGCCGTAGCGCAGCGCCAGTCCCGGCAAGGTGTCCCCGGGCCCCACGCGGTGCTCCCGACCCCCCGCCATAGCGGGGCGCCCCGCCGCTCCCCGACCCCGCTCGGGCCCTGCGCGGAGGCCGCTGGGAGCCGTAGTCCCGCGTCCTTCGGATTCCACGGCGGAAGCGGGTCGGAGAACTACAACTCCCGTCGTACCCCGCGGCTACGCGGCGCCTCTCTCCCCATTGGTCAACGTGCGCGCGCGAGGCACGACGGGACGGAGGACCCGGAAGCGGACGGTGGGCGCTCCCCATGGCGACGGCGGAGCGGCGCCGGGTTCCGCCATGTCCTTCAAGCGGGATGGGGACGACGCGGGGCAGCTGGCGGTACTGCAGGTGAGCCTCGGCCAGTCGGCGGCTCCTCTCCGGTCCTCTTTGGCGGACGGGGGTTGGGGGCGATGAGGCGGGGCCGCCCTGACGGCGCCTCGTCGTCCCCTCGCAGCGGAGACGCGTGGCGGAGCTCCTGGCCAATTACATCCCGGAGGACGAAGCGCTGCTGCTGAGGAGCGGGAGGTGAACGGCGGCGAACCCAACGGGGGGGTCCGGGCGGGAGACCCGCGGCGCAGGAGGGGCGCGGAGCCGTCGGAGGGCTCGGAGATGCGCTCCGGGGGGCTCCAGCCGCTCTGTGGTTCATCCCGCGCAGATACGCCTGCACGGTGTGCCCGCACCGCCCCGTCTTCGACACGCTGGAGGTGCTGGCGGTGCACCGGGCCGGCAGGAAGCACGTGGGCAGTGAGTGCGGGGCTGTGAGGGGCGCAGCGCTGGGGCGGCCGCGCCGAGCTCCTCCACGCCGCCCCTCTTCTCCCTTCCAGACCTCCGGCGCTGCTACGGCGGCAGCCGCACGCGGGAGGCGGCGGTGCGGGAGCGGCAGTGCCGGGAGGCGGCGCTGGGCACTGAGGTGGGTACGGAGCCCCCTCCCCTCCCCTTCCCCGTCCCACAGATGGTGGCTCTGAGCTCTGCCCCTTCCCCCCCCCCCGCAGGGCTCCCCGGCCCCTCTGCTGCTCAGGACAAGGCGGATTGCACAGAGCGCACTGCTGAAGGCAGCTCCGTACAGCAGCTGCTGCAGGAGGATGGGGTGAGGATTCGGCTCCGCTGCTGCGGTGCAGGGAGAGCCTCCATCCCACCACCCCCCAGCCCTGATGGTGTCCCCTGCAGGGCGGATGGAAGTGGTGTGAGAGCAGGAAGGACCCGAATGGGGCCAAGAGCTGCCCCTGCAGCCGTGAAGGAGCGCAGAGATGCAGTGGAGGCCACTGCTGCAGTGCTGCTGCCCGGGTGCTGTGGTGGGAGAGGAGGTGAGTGCTGACAGCTGAGTTGTGCCCCACGCTGCCAGAAGGACGTGGGGGGGGGGGGGGGCTGGAGCACGTGTGGAGGAGGGAGGGGAGCTGTGGGGGTCTGAGCGCAGTGCTGTGGGATGGGGTTGGCCTGCCTGGAGCAGAGGAGCTGCGAGGGCCGTTGAGACGCTGCCCTGTGGGATGTGGTGCAGTGGGATTGGACTTCTCCAGCCCCTGTGATTCTCTGATTCTTTCTGTTCTCCACTCTGCAGAGGCAGCAGTGGATTTCACCGACACCCAGCAGGGCGGTTTGAGGGGGGCTCAGCCATCGCCACCCCCCAGTCAGCCCTCGGCTGTCAGCCCCGCGCGGCGCCAGGAGCTGCAGCGATACCTACAGCTGCGGAGGTGAGCGGGGCCTGGGGGTGTGGGACCCCCCCTTCGCTGCCCTTTGCTCAGCCCCCCTCTGTCTGTCTGTCTGCAGCGCCGGATGGATCCAGGACCCCTCTGGGAAGTGGGTGAAGGATGAGAACGCCGAGTTTGACTCCGATGAGGAGGAGCCCCCCGCGCTGCTGCCCACCTGAGGTGCCCATCCTCCAGGGCTGCCCCCAGCCCCACTGCTGTGGGAATGGGGCAGCTGGAGACGAAGGGCTGTGCGGGTCCTGTGGAAATACAGCCTGGTGCTGCAGGGATCCGGCATCGCGGGTCCCCTTGTTTTGTGCTCACAGTGCCCCTTTTTGGGGCTGTTCTGTCGCAGCGCTGTGATCTCGGTGTGGGCTCTGGGCTGTCCCCAGCTGTCCCTGCCCAGGTCACGCTCAGCACGGTGCACACGCAGCTGCCCAGGGGGTCACGGCCTTTAGGGGCGGCAGCGTTGGGCTCCCCCTCCTCGTGTCCCAGCAGCTGTCCTTGCGGTCAGCGGAGCGCCCGGCCACGTCACCCCACCTCCCTGCATCGGCCTGCGGGTCCCATGGGTGCTCCCACCTCAGGGCGCAGCCCCACACCCTGCCAGCTCCCAAACCTCCACCCACAGCCTGGGGAGAGACCCCTCCCCGGCCTGTATGCACCATGGGCCCCAGAGCTCTTGTGTGGGGTGGGGGGGTGGGGGCTCCCTGGCAGCGCTGCCCCGGCTGATGTTACACCTGGGCGCTGGGATTTACCCGCTTGCTCAGCTCGGGGCCATAAATAGTTGTTGGGATGGGCGCCAGCTCTGCAGTGGGTGCCAGCAGCGACCCGGCACCGGGCCGGGGGGCTCTTCCCAGAGCCCTGCAGACCCCCACCCTCCCCACAGTGCCACCTGCTATGGGCCCTGGGTGCCCGGCTCTGAGACCCATGGGTGCCCACCTCCCTGCTGGGGGTGCCTGCTTCCCTCCCCCCCCCCAAAATCTTGGCATTGCTCTGGGCCCTGTAACCCAATCCCTTGGGTATAAATACCCCAACCGTGCAGCTCGCTGCTTCCTGAGGGGATGCAGAGGTCTGGCTGGGCCCCTTAACGAGCCCTTCGTTAATGGTTCGAGGTGATTGGGGCCCTCTGGGTCTCAAGCTGTGAAAGAGGGCATTACACTCCACAAGCCAGTTCCAGCCCTGCGTCTCCGTCCTCTTTATTTACAGCGGATCCGGCCCCAGGGAGCCCAGAGCAGAGCCCACAGGCGAGCCGAGCTCCGGGCTGCAGCGGGGCCGTGGCGCGGGGCGTTCAGGTTTTCTTCTGCTTGCGACCTGGGGCAGGGGGAGGCAGGTCAGGTCCCCAGATCCCATCAGCCCCCCGATTTCCCCCCATTCCCCCTGGGGGGGGGGGCACTCACGGAGCTCGTTGTTGCGGGTGATGGCGATGGCGGCGCGGGCGCGGGGGCCTTGCTGTGTGAAGTGGTACCCAAAGCGCACGACGGAGGGGCACTGCTCCAGCATCGTCGCCATCTCCATCTCCACCGTGTCCCCCAGGCGCTGGCACTGCGGGGCAGTGGTGCCGTGGGGCGAGGTGGGATTTGGGGACCCCCCAACCTGACTCCCCCAACCCCTCCCAGTCCCTGTGGTTGCCCGTTCTCACCTGGTTGTCCACCTTGAGCTCGCTCAGGGTGCTGTTCTGGTACATGGCCTTGATGATGCTCATCATGCCGGCGCTGGTGATGAAGTTGGACTCAATGTTGAGGCTCTGCAGCGTTTTGTTCTCTGCCAGCATCTCGGCCACGGCCTGCAGGATGCCCGTGTCACCTCAAGGTGTCACCCCGGGGTGCCACCTCACCTCCCCAGGGCTGCCTTCCCTCTCTGGGGGTGGGGGAGATGTGAGGAGGGACTCACGGTGGCCACGGGGTCGTTGCTGCGCGTCGCCACCAGGCTGAGCTTCTTGACGTGGGTGTTGGTTTTCATGGCCTCACAGATGGCCTTCAGCGTGGAGATGGGAATGTCCTGCAGCGAGGGGACGTGGCTGTCACTGAGGGGTGGGGACGGCCCCGTAGTGGTGCAAAGTGTCACCAAGGGGATGCGCTGCAGGGGTCGGGATGTGTCCAGGGGCACAGCTGTCCCCGAGAGCACGCAGGTTGTCACCAAAGGGTTGCAGGTGGCACCACGGGATGTCACCAAGGGGATGTAGGCATTGTCAGGGGGACGCGGCACTCCAGAGACCCCTTGGGCTCAGGACGAGCACCTGAGGTCAGCGCAGGGCATGGAGCAGCACGGAGCAGCACGGAGCAGCACGCCAGGGCAGCGCTGGCCCAGGCTGCGCCCCTCACCTTGATGTTGTTGAGGTTGACGTCCTCCAGCGCGCTGTCGTTGGCCTGGATCTGCCGCAGGGTCTCCTCCACGTTGGTGGGGTTTGGGGGCTCATCTGGCACTGGTTTGTACTTATCTGGTTTCACCACGCCTGGGCACGGGGGGGGACATGGGGACGTGGTTTGTGGGTTTGGTGGGGGCGGTGACCTGGGTCATCTTTTCCAACCCTTCTGATTTTGTGACCCCATCATTCTTTGAGCGCTGGGGATGGGTTGGGGTTGGCCTGGATGGCCTTAGAGGTCTTTTCCAACCTTAATGGTTCTGTGATCCAATTTAGGGACACGGTTGGTGGGATGGTGGGGTCGGGTTGGGGTCGGACCAGATGACTTGGGAGGTCTTTTCCAACCCCAGTGATCCTTTAATTCAGTTGAGCACGGTGTGGATGGGTTGGGATCGGACTTGGTGATCGTGGAGACGCTTTCCAACCCCAATGATTCTGTAGCACACGGTGTGCACGACAGTGGGGTTCCCTCACCCCAGTCCCACCACCGGCCCCACCACCCCTTGTTCTCCACATCCCCTCCTCCCCCATGTTGGCTGTGCGCAGCACTCACTGTTGATGCCCTCCGTGTTGGTGATGGTCCCGCTGCAGATCGCGTCGTAGTACTGCTTGTTGCTCATCAGTGTGTACATCCCCAGGATGGCTGTCGGACACCCATGGGGTCACTGTGCACCCCAGACCCCCCTGCAGCCCTCGGGCAGCCGCAGCTCCATGGGGTGGGCAGGGGGCCCAGGCTGAAAGCCGAGCGCAGGGCAGCACCGCTGTTGGAGCCAGGGGCTGGCGGGGACCCAACGGCCACAGCATTGGGGGGCGGGGATACAGGGGGACGCGGGTGTGACGTGGGATGGGGAGGATGGAGACGGGCGTGGGGCAGCGGTGTGGGGCGACAGCAGCTCTGTGCAGTGCAGCCCTGCGGCACGGCAGCCCCACACTGGACCCACCTGCGATGTCACACATCTCGGCATCGGTGGCGTTGGCCAACGCCTCCTCCAGCTCCGGCTCCAGCGTGATCTGCTCCTCGCGGGGGATCTCCCGTGTGGGGTTTTTGGGTACGAAGGGTTTCCCTGTACAGGGAGATGTGGGTCGCACCCCCCCACGGCCCCGCAGCAGGGGGTGACACCAACCCGCTGACCTTGGTGACCGCCAGGCCAGGGAGGAGCACCCTGGGGGGGGACACGTTGAGGGCTGGCAGCACTGGGGGTGGCATTGCCAGCACTGTGACATTGCCGGGGGGTGGCCATGCCCAGGGCTGGCGGGGGCCCAACTCGCCCGGGACATCTGAGCTGCTGGTGAGCTCTGTGCTGCCAAGCTAAATATACCTGGTGCTGCGGTGCCATGTCCCCCCACGACGTCCCCCCACGACGTCCCCCCACGACGTCCCCCCAC